TTTTATCAGATTTTAATCCGGAAATTTGTTAACAAAACTTGTGATTTTCCGGAACTAAAAAACTGGATTTTTTCCTGTTTTTTGTCTTTTATTTTTTTTTACAGAGAGAAGATGGGAACATTGGTTATGGTTCCCGTCTGTGCAAAGTTCTGGATGGGTAAGAAAGAATAGGATTTGGGGGAGGATTTGGTAACAACCCTCCTAACATGCCTATTACCGCGACCCAGTTATTATGTTGTTTTACCATTCGATCCGGTAAGGAGTAATAAACGATAGTGGATAGCAAATGTTGCGGATGATATGGCTATTGCCCTAGGCCGCAGGGGGTCCCAGTTTGTTACTCTACTTCAGCAGGTAATGATCCATTGCCCCGGTCTAAAACAAAATTTTTCAGGGCTGCTTAGCTGAAGGGCACAACAGTGTAAAACAAGTGTATAGGCGATTTCTTATAGAGGCAAGTACCGGTGGACCAACGGTAAGAAGAGCTCCAGCACATAGGAATATGTGACGGTAGAACTCCCTGGAGATTACCATCTCCTCATCATGACTCTCTACATTAAGTCGGTGAGTGCACAAAGGCATAATAATAATAAACCTTTGCTTTCAAAATGCTTAAATTGCTGGAACCTCTTGCTTTAATGACTACCACTTCATGCGGGAAACTGGATGAATAGCGGGTGCCACGAGTATCCCGTCATGGTAAAAAGGTCATTAGGCGCCAACCTTAGAAATGAGGTTGGTGAACTGGAAACGGTTAAGAGACAACTAGCAGCCAAGCTCCGTAAAGTAATACAGGATGCACTAAGAAAAATAGTAATAATTAACACCGTAGACTAGCGTTCACGAGGACTATTTTTGTTACTGCAAGTAAACAGGGTTAGGTGTAAGATCAGGAAAACTTGCCTAACACCAGCTAATCCATCCTGAGTGATATTACAGGAGAAGATTCACAGACTGTAAAGGCATCAGTGAAGATTGACAACATACCGAAGTGACTGAGTATTCAGTATTCATGCGTAGGTAGAGCCCAATTATTAGCTGAAAGACACAGTCGATGAAAGGAGAAATCCGTGATAGGGCGAGGAAACTCTATCCTATCTTCGGTGTCTGCAATTTAACGGGGGTCCTTCAGTTAACCAAGTATTGACTTATGGATTAGTTTGCCGCTTGCTTTTCCCAGTGCCTAGTCGTTTAACGGCAAATTTTGATTAGTGAAGTCATTCGTAGGGAATGAATAACTTTTCATTACTGTGATCGTATAAATGAGCACTAAGACCCAATCTAAGTGTGTTATTGATTAGCAATCAGTGCTGATCGTATAGTTTAATATGTATGTGTCTATATATATTAATGATCCAAGTATCAGTCGACGGAGTAGGTTAAATTACGACTTTCGCTCAAAAATATCATTGGGAGATAAAGGGTTTACGGATGAACCTCTGTGAATGACCAATAAGGGGTGGCCACAGTCCAGTTAATTGATTCGACATCAGTTTTCGTATCCTTCGATCACAATATTTGGTTTCAGGGAAGCTGAAGGCTCCAATAGTGTTAGAAATGGATTGAAAATTGTACTAAGATGATAAAGACCTTGTTCTGTGAATGGCAAACCGAATTTGGGAGAAGTTCAAAAATTACGTGCTAGTGGGGGTGAAGGATTGGGATCCGATATGGGCTGTTGACCAAACTGCTCTTCGAGAGCACTCACTGCATATGCACGTTTGAGGTGACCTTTAAGTCTGAACGTGCTCCACGTTGAACTTCGCGAGTACTAGCGGGTCTGGAAATTCCTGCTAACATGAAATACCTTTGATATTGAGAGTTTTGAGAAAGTTGGAAATAAGTGAAAGTCAGAATCATAAACGCTAATCTAAAGATTTGACCCTAAAAATCTCACGTTGAGTATTACGGGCACTACTTCCCTGGTGTTAAATCACCGTACGGCTTTTGGAAAGACTATAACAACTGGCTGTTAACGATTCAGAAATTCCATCAACTAACTGAGGGAGATCGTTTTGACCGTTTCACCTCAATAAATCTGACTCTTATAGATTAGTATAAGTCATTTAAGTCATCGATTTATTCGCAACCCAGCCCATCCCTGTTGTCATGGAGATGGCTAGCCATAAATGAAAACACCGAGCGCAAGGAGATGTTGCTCGTTTCAGATTCAAGTTATGATCTCTGTGTGTCGAGCAGAATAGTCATACTTGTTAATGAGTAAAGTGAATTAATGGCTCCCAGGGGAAACGACAGTGACTTAATGCTCCTAACTTTAATGCTAAGGATTTATTATAATGGCAACGTTGATAGGGTGGAAGATGACATTCTACCCAGTGGTCGGTTAGCTTGTCTAACGAGTCCCGACGCTAGTGTGATGCTAGCATTCGGTAAGTGGGAGAGTTTTAACTCTATAAGTAAGAAGATGTCTCATTAGCAGAAATCTTACCTCTGTACGGTTGACCTAAGGATGCTTGCCTAAATCCTTTCAGAAAAATATCGTCATAATTTCGACGGGTTACACACTAATTGTTAATTA